TCATTTCTCCGATCACAAATGCAGACATGGTTTTACGTTTATGCGGCAAAAGACAGTATAAGTCATTATAATCCATAATTATGTCCCCACTGGATGCAACGAATGCCTCGTTTATAATGGGTTTTCATGTTTTTGAATCATCGCTCCGGCCTGACAGGGCATCATCACAATATGGTAAGGGGCGTAACATTTCCGTCACACGCTTGAGGTATTTGGCCAATCATAACACACTGGATAGCTGGCCAATCACAGCACACCTTGCTTTTCAGACCGATGAGCTTTGTAAAAATCGACGCGTTTCAGAAAGGCGGGGCATAGAGGAGAAACAATAATGTACAGTATGTGGAAAATAATGTGTTTTTTGAACCTTAAACCGCATAAACACATTTCATTACACCAAATACACAAAATAATGTTCTTTTTAGCAACATCATATGACCCCTTTAAAGCTGTAACCATTTCAATCAGTATGTTTATAGTCCTTATCTAGCAACTTGTAAAAAACATCAGTGTGCTGATGCTGCCACATTTTAGGCCCTTATAAGCAGGGCCGTGCACAGACATTTTGAGGGGCAGTGGCCCAAACTAAAAAAAGGGGCACAAGGAGGGTGGGTGCTTGTTAATACAAATTATCCAGTTGTTACAAATAATTAAAAGAGAAGACAGCACACTCTATAATAACTGACATTATTGTAGATGTTTTAATAAGAGGGGGCTCTCCCTCACTCTCTGAGCCTGCTTCTGCCTCATCTTCAATGGAAGTAGGGGAGAGTGGGGTAAGTTGAGCCAGTGGGTAAGTTGACCCACCCCCTGTTTCTTGGCAACTGTACATCTGTACAACTGTCATGTGACGATGTATTTTGGAACCACCCATCATTGGGGTACTGGAAACACATAGGGGTAATGGAAGGCACCCATTTACTTTAAAAACTGTTTTTTGGCTTGTCAAAGTAAACTTTTAGCATAACAGATGTAATGGTTGTTACATCAAAGCAAATTTACCCAGGTCTAAAAATATTTATGATACATATAGGTGATTTAGCAACATATAAAACCATGCAAATCATTTAGCTAAATATTAGCCTGAACTGGTAAGCTACAGTAGAATTTTTTTTCTTCCAAAATGGCTGCTATGGGGCAAAGTGAGCCAAATGCTGTGGGGTTAATTGTGTCAGCATTTTAACTTACCCCACCATAAGGCACTGTAGTTAAGTTAATTATAAAATGGTATTTTAACGTGATATATTACTGGTTTAGTTTATCATATTATTTGCCGTTTATTTGATAGGGACAGTGTGCAAGTGCACCAAACCCTTCTCTGATAAGAACCAGAAAATGCTTTTCATCACATTATAATCAGATATATTTTTCCACCTGTAGTCACTAATGGCCAACAAACTCTCTGTTTAGTCTGTATTTAGGAAGGCTACAACTTTAGTGTTCAACTTATTGTTTCAGAAATGCGAACAATTAAATATTGAAATTTAAACTTCATTTGGTTGGTTTTATGTTGTTAAAGTTAACTTTAAGAAAAGAAATATGACTGTTTGTAAAAGGAAATTATTAAATTAGTTTTTAAATTATTTATTTCACATGGGTTTGAGTCAGATTCAGTCGGATGATCATTCTACACCCAGATGGTGCATCTTACTCACTGACTCGACTCGGGTCAACTTACCGCTAACCCGGGGCAAACTGAGCCATGGGAACACTTTTTTTATAAGAAGCATTTTGTTTTTAGAACCCTTTGTCATAGATACATTCTGATCATTTAAAATGATACGATTACTTTCATTTGGATAGGATAGGATAGATACTTTCATTGTACTTCTGCGTCATTTTCCCTTATCTTGAGGACCAACTAATTTAGAAAATGTATACTATTTTTTAAACTATTTATAGGCCTACTATTATTTTGGTTTTAATAAAATATGATGTGTTATAGATTACTAGTATCAAGACAAGTAATTATAATGGGAAATGTACTTAATTACAAGAATTAAAGTGTGACAAACTGCTAAATATTCTAAATGATGATTTACCTGCTGGCTTGCTGGAGCTTTGAATTCATTTTTGCAATGTTGAACTGCCTTTAGCAGCTTGCGGAGCGGGCAGGAAACACGGAGTGGATTAGCAGAATCAGCGGATCTTTAGCGGAGCGGTAACAGACAGCTTTGAGCTGTGGTGATGGGGGGATTGGTGAGAGGGGCAACTCAGCCGATGAGGGCAAAGGGGCAGTGGCTCTAGCCACCGGGCCACCACGGCCCTGCTTATAAGTAATAATGACAAATCAGCCTTTAGTGATGTAATAGCAGTCTTTGCTGTCTGGTATAAAACCAACAGTTTGTCAACACAACAGGACCAAGAAGACGGAGAAAGATCAAGACTCACTTGTCCCAGTACATCAACAGTTCAAAAAAATGGGTATGTGTATTATTCATATTACATTTTTTTTGATGCAGAGTGTAGTAAATGCAAAACTGTGTAAGATACAAAAATGATATGAACAAGTCATGGCAAAACATGTTTTTTTCATTACTTAACATGTCAAAAAAATATAAACCAATTACATCTTCATTGTTTCAGTTATTTGAGATTTAAATAGGTAAGATTAAAAAAAAAAATTAGTTGAAATGACTTTTTCCAATTTGATTATACTCAAACATTTAAGGCAGCAACAGAATAAACAAATATATATATAAAAAAAACATTCACATCATCAATATAATATAAAGTGTTGTTGAAAATATACAAAACAATGTAACAATTTTATCATAATTGAAGATGGATATTGTTCTTCAAATAAATGAAACTGGACAGATTACAGATTAGGTAGGTATTAAATAAACTTTTGGTATCAACGCCAGACACTAGGGGAATTTGTCGAAATACAGTCTTCAAAATATAACCGCTGGCATGACTGCTTTGAAATATTTGCATTCTCAATTTTGATTGGTCTTCTTTATTGAATGTAACCACATTTACACAGCAAACAGAAGTTTTTTCTTCTTTTTT